TATCATCGTCATCATCATCGTCAGCTTTAGCACTCTATGCGCCAGCTGAAGGCACTCCAATCTATACACACCCAACGTGCTGGTCGTAAGGTTGTATGTATGCTCACTAGGTACATGTGCTCTCATATCAACATCAGGGAATACACTACAGCAGCTCAATGGTCATCCGTCAGGAAGAAGACAAATATTCATTTTCGGTCATCAGAAATGTCGTTATTTTTCAGGGAACTACACTGATTGTACAATACATGATCTCTGTGACATTCTGTTCGACACAGCGCAAACGCTCGATGGTCCTATACGTTGTTCCATATAATTAAAGCCTTGCAACGCGGATAAACTCGCAAAGTAAACTGAAGCGTTCACAATGTACTGCAGTCAAGTAGCTCCCTGACTCGAAGTGATCTGTGATAAGGCACAGTCAAAACACCGAAAAAGAACATCCTTTACACTGGTGAAGATGTGTTTCACATAATGTAAACTGAACATCTTCCTGAAGGACGTATAGTGCGGCACAATTGCGTGCGAAGACACATTTGGGATTTATCAATGCTGCCAGTCAAAACGCAGAACTGAATTAACCAACCGTCTCAACAAGGAACAATCGGCCACAAAAACCAAAGTTTCTTGAGGCCATACTTGTTAGTCCTTGTGAGCCTGTCTTCTGCGCTCAGAAAGACATGAGGGTTAGCCTCAGGATGCGATGGTCTTATTATCTGGGCACAGTGTTTTGGAGGTATAAAACTAGTGTAGAGAGTATTGTAATTTCTAATGCTGCCCCGTGTTTCGGGAAGCAGAGTTTAAGAACTGCAACTCACTACCTTCTTTATACAGCCAGATTATTCGCACTTTTATGCATACGGGGTTTTTATGCCTGATTCCATATGATACGGACCTCGCTGTTGATGATTGCGTGGATCGTAAATTTTTATCCACATCCCTCGACTGACAAGCTCGGTATCTACCTCAGTTAGTCCAAACGAAAGAGAAATGCTAGACGCAATCTTCGCTATCACTGATAATTTACATTCATACCACTCTCGGGCTTCGACCGGTGGTACACAAGATAGTTAAGTGGTCATACATAGTACTCGTCCCTACCGGCTGTGTACGTCCGTTTTTTTCTACTGTGCACGTCGTTGTTATGAATGGGAAAGCTGGTCTAGCTTGGAATCGAACGCACACAACCACAAAACGAAAACCGCTTCACTCAGCGCGTGTCTAGGGTCGTCCTACCCAGGATTTCCAAGGTCGTTCCGCTCTGCCTTTGATTGTTAGTTAACCTAACCTATACCACTGTTTTGTTTTCCATGAATACCGTTTTCTCTTCTACCGCAAATTCAATCAGATGTACATGATCTTTACGTTATGCCCCTTGGAAGAATCATCACTGTTCTCCCAGTACCCAGAAGTTGCTGAACTGAATTGTTTCGGAAACTGGTTCGTGTCTCCTGTCTCATCCGCTGCTTTTAACAGTCCCGTCGTTTATGTCAATACTGAGTTCTCAGCAACTCAATTTCTAAACATATTCTTACAAATGCACTCATTTGCTGGGTTTCCAAGTCCTCATGAAGTTAAATAGTTGCGAAAGTGGGCACTGTGGGACCCGTCATACAACCCCGGATTCTCCAAGTGATCAGTAGAAAATTTGTTCATTAAATAGTGATCATTCCAATCCACCTTTGTTTCCCGACAAACAAGCGGCCTGATAGTTTCGTTAATTTCTTTCCAGATGGACTTGCTTCAAAATTCGATCTGAGTCAGTCTCATCAGGGTTAAAAAATTAGGCGGTCACCTATTCTGTTTAGTTGATAATCTCATATACACAACCGACGTCTTTCTGTGAGATAAATCCCGTGCGGCATGAAGTGGGAGAATTTCCTACGATCGGTTAACATCAAGTTTTTGTCTCATGCGGTGACCCTAGACAGCTTGATATTTTGAACTGAGGACATGGACCCACGGACAAACATGGGTAAGTACACCTCACACTCAGTATAAAGAAATTGGGGGACTCCTCATTGTTCATAGGAGTTCGGGAGCACCAGTCTAACAGACCACATCGAACTTGACCGGTCGAAACTATTTAGTTCGCTTCGAAAAACAACTGCGAACTGCATCAGTTTGCGCCGTCACGTGTAACTTCAAATGCGCACTGCCCAACTAGGTTCGAGGCTAACCCAACCAATCGCATTAATCGGATAAGGTTTGACTACCAGACAGCTAGAAAAGCTTACCACCTGCAATTCGAAGTGCAGTCAACTCGAACAAACCGTCGTCACCATGCTTTGGTTTGACTGAGTTGCAAACTGACGGCGCCGCAGTGCTGGTAAAGTAGACAGAGGCTACGCCGATCACCGACACGCGGAATCAAGGAAGAGACATCATCCGATTGTCCAAAAACAACCGCCTGAACAGCAAGACTCAAATTCGACCGACCGCCTCAGCATCACGCTAACCAGATTTCGCCCAAAACACTGGTCAGATTCTATTCCACATCAGTATCTTCAGAAATGGGTTGAAGGGACTAATAAAAGTGGCCTAGAAGACACAGTTGACGGGTCAATAAGTGAAGACCCGGACACTCATCCAGCAATAATAGCCCCGCACGCGAAATTTATGCGTAGCTGCTATCATCAGCTATTACCAAAAAGTTGCTTCACTTGTGATTCAACCGGGTACCCAGTCGTGCTCAGCTTGAATATGCAAAAACCTTTTGGACAATGTGAGTGCCCTAAGGCCTGACCTTTCAAACTACTTTACAGACGCTTCAAAAACCGGATGAAAAAAAATTTGATGAACCTATGTGGGAAGAAATACCAGCGACAATTTAGGCGGGACTCAGTCTGACCAAGAGTATCCAAACCTGATGATTACTAAACAGGACCATTCCTCGCATGGAACGTTCGGTCCGACGCACGGGCTCAAGCAAGTCTACTGTTACAATATGCATTCATAATGGTAAATTACAAGCCTCCTTTGAGTTATATTCTGTATTAAATCACCCATAAATCCCAGCCTGCAAAGGCGAAGTACGACCACCCTTTTACGAAAGCCGTCCAGCACAAAGCCACCGGATGGGCCAAAGAGAGTAAGATCGCACAAAAGTAGCGCCGTATCACAGGGACAACTGGGATTCAACGACAAATTTCAGTCGGACAGTGAGATTACTTCAACTTATCAGTCTGAACAAAGCACCACTGAAGATCACACGACGAAACGTAAAGTCCACACACAAGAACCCGGTCCGAAAGATTTCTGACTACATCTAAAAATCTATGACGGCTGCTTTTCAGATAACCAAGTGGATTCGTAAAGCGAGAACTCGTTAAACTGTACCGTTCACGGCTGGTTAATTTGTCGACTATGTCATGAATCCATGGACTAAAATCAGTTACTGACATTGAACAGGCAGTGATCGCTCAGCAACTTTCTTCTTTGCACCGCTGTACTTTGCGTGATGGGAACAGGTCAAAATCCCACGTAAAGAAGAATCAGAAAGTCCTTCAACGTAAGTTCGCTTTGAACACGAACGGTATGTAGTTTCGGATATCCCTGCCTGATAAGACAAGGGAAGCTGGTAATAAGAGCAATTAAGTACCAGTACTGACTGCTACTACCTCCGCGATATTCGCTCATCTCGAAAGATTAGCAATATGCGCCCAAAAAACAATACCCGTTACCTTTGTTCAACAAACGATAATTAAAACTGAAGCGAGGAAAAAGTTGGGCAAAGCCACCGATGATTTTTGGATGAAGCTGTATACAAGTAGGCGAATAAAAGGTCTGCAGAAAAAGGACAAATAACGATGAAGTGGCGTGGTTGACTATACAAGGATGTACACGATGAAGGTAAGCATGTGGATCACAATTCAGTAGAACTCGACTGATAATAGAACAAACTTTGACAATCTCAGCTGATCTGGTGTTGTATATAATCGTGCAACTGTAAGTGTTTGGTCGTGATCCTAATGGGTAGCCTTTATGGAATATATTGTCCCGTCACGGACATCATAGAAGCGTGGGGTGTACAAATGAGGGCACACAGAAACCATGTACACGAAAAGACGCAAACTCAAACATCTTCCATGTCTTCGTCATCATCGTCATCCTCTTCCCCGGGATCACCCATCAGTTCGTCGTCAACTAGTTCATCATCATGGGACAATACGTGCTCCGCGGTCGCACTTCCAAGTGTTGTGGTAGCCGCAATGTCCTCACGTGTATTGTTGCTGATAGAGCAAACGAGACTACCCACGGTCGAACCTGTACCGGTTCCACTGGAATGCATTACACGCTCAACATGGCTGCCAGGAACTTGTCTGTGACGAAGAAGCCCTCCAGGACCTCCTGGGACAACATATCCACGAGAAGCAGCTGCACGTGCGTAGTGCTGTGTGTCTCCCGGAACAAATCCAGTGGGAGGAACCGCACCAGAAACCAGATGGCTATCATCCGTGTCGTCGACTGACCCGGAAAGATACAATCTTCTCAAAGTGCTATCACTCGTGGAGCAACCGACGCCACTGTCAAACAAACTGGAATACCGTGACCCATGTTCTACCGGCGAAGGTTGTGTGTTTCGCAATCCACCAACGGTCCCCTCGTGGCCCATTTCGTCGTCATGTTCATCATGTTGTCCGGAGGATGAATTCGCCGCAGCGGCAGCTAGGCGCGCCTCGACAAATAGTCGACGTTGTTGATGCAAGGCCTCAAAGTCTGGCACAATAGCTTGTCGACGCTCATAAATTGCTGATCATAGGAAGAAGTACAAAGAGCCAAGGTTAATGAGTTTGTAATCAAAAATGCATGCCGAGTGATGTAAGTGATGAGGTAGAACTTCGCACATACCTTCAACGTAGAACCGCAGAGATGGTGGAACAAGCTCCAAGCATTGGTTATACTCTTCTTGTGTGCAATGAATACTTCCCAAACGTAGCATCAGACCCATTCGCTTCAATGTGTCGACTTCATCCCGGATTTCAAAAGCCTGATCGAAATTGAACAGGTATTCCAGCCTGCAGAAAAAGAAACGGTCAGATCAGTGTTTAGTTAGAGAACGTTGGGTAGGGAGAGGGATTCAAGAAGTGGACTTATATCAAGCAACTCTATTATAGACAGATGCGGCCGCAAACGTGTTGCTTGAATCAACTGGTGGGCATGATTATCTAATAGGGGGAAATGATACAGTGGAAAGATATAAGCTCCGGCATTCGACGAGCAATGATCGAGTTGCAACTAGGCAGTTCAACCGCCAACATATCTTCGGCTTGAACGTACATATAATCTAGCGAATAAATGGGACAAACTCGCTGTGGTCCATCTTTATTAACTATATGTAACGGCTGGAATACCTTGCGGATGTGGGGACAGAGCGGGCAATTTTCCTCCGCATGACAGAAAATTTAGGGATTCCATGAAGGGGATGAAAAATGGTGAGAATTTCAAAAACATACGTTTCCAAGAAGTGCCTGATAGCTTCAAATTTAATATCTTGAAAACAAAGGAAACCATCAAACAAGGAGAGCAGAAAGCTGAACTTGAGTTTGGAAATTCCCGGTACGCCGCTGTTACTTAATTCGCATACACGTTTTTACTCAACTGGTCTGGACAAATACAAAATCATCAGAACTTCCAAACCGGGTACACTTGCAGTGCATGCCCTTGACAGAACCTCGAGAGCACAAAAGAACATCGTTCACTTTTTATGTACTTTCTCTTCTCAGAAACGGTATCTTCCTATATGGCGGTAAAAATTGAGCGTTACTGTTGGTCAAAGAACAGGAATGTTTAGGTCCAAGAGGTCCACCAAACCTGGATGCATGGCAAATTGAACGTTAACGACGCGAAATTCATTATCATCAATGTTCAACGCCGATCTTCCATTACCATACAACCGCATTTATTTGGAAGCCTCACTGTCGTGATCCCGGAAATCGATTTGGAAAGAGGCGTCGGTACGCTCCTGGAAACACCCATTTTATTACGCAAAATCATTGGCTTTTTCTCAGTGTTTAATCTTCCTGGACACCGATCGAAACCCTACAGTGGCTGCACGAATCCACTTGATTGTGACTAGTATGACTCATGATTGCTTTGATGCAAAAGAAGTTACAGTGTACATCGAATAACTATGCCGAGGACTACTGAACTGAAATCAATTAACTTTTCTGCGATTTTTCTCAATTCCCATATCCCGATCTTGGATTCTACATGTATCCCGCGAAAAGAGTGTGGCTTTTCTCTGTTTGACCATAGTTGCGTCCAGTTGGCGTATCATCAGAGATCCTGGAGGAAGATGGTCTGCGCTGACTACAATGAATTGGCAACATGTAGCCTGAAAGCCATGATAGCTGTTAGACACGAATCCGCGAGAAACTCAGACAGACTAGGCCCAACAAGCCGCAAAACTTCCCCGAAATTTGGGTGATCAGACTATTTACCTCGCTTCGACACCGGATTACTAGGTCAGTTTTTCGGAGGCCTCCACTCACTGGCGGTCATTTAGAGAAGGCATCATTGTAAGGTAAATCGGCGCACAAAAGGTTATTTCCAAAAAGGGAATAAAGTTAGACTTACTTGTCAGTAGAAATGTTGCAATCAATCACTGTCTTTCTATGTGTAGATATGACTAAGAACGGTAGAGGAATCTTTTCAGTACGAGGACCAGATTGACTTCCTCCTCCACGCCCCAAGTTCTGAATATTGAAATCCGCCATTCGGTTGTCCCCGGTAGAAGCTTGGGACTCAGATGCTGTCTGGCTGCGTCTATACCGATCATTGATGCGATTACGCATGACCAGATTTTTGAAGGCGATCAACTGAAGGATCAGTTCCTGTATCTCAACAGTCTGAAAATTTGATAAGTCAAGGCAAAGGGTTGGTCAATCCAGCTGTTAAGTGAGTGGTAATGACACAAAAAACAGCATCACTGTTCGGTAGACAAGGGCATATCTAATATATACTCCAAACTTAACTTGACAATGTTATCCGCCACTCGAATGAACCCAACTCACTACCTATTACTCGCTAACATACTACTGTATTACGGAGACAGAGTAGACCGAAGCCAGACAGGGCATCACACAGGAGAGAACTTTTCTCACGGTCGTTTTACACATGCTCTACTAACGGCTTTGGGTGTTTGTTAGAAAATGTCATTGCTACCAGATAACCAGGTAACTAAAAGTGCGAGGGGTTTTCGAAGGTCGTCAAGCGATACTATGGATGACATTCATGTTGGAATAATCCCCCCGCTAATAGTCGGCCTGCCTAGTCGTAATGCACATACTGTTTCCTGACGGCAAGTGTCCATTCGGATGCAACAATTGTGCGTGAAAGTTCAGCCCAACTGCGACACTTCTGTCTAAAGGGAACGGAGTGTTTGCCCACATGGAGAGTGCTAGCGTTAATTGAGGGCTTCATCCAGGATAACTATGTGAGCCACTTTTGTTAAAGGAGAGGAACTACCAACTGAATTATTTTATCACAAGGGTACTCATAGATTACTCCTGCTCAGGTTCGAAAGGTGTATACGGTTCCCTTGGGAAACCGTAATAGTTGGTTGCTCGATACCGTTGAAGACTCACTCGCAACCGGGACCAAACCTCGGCTGCTCCGTCTCCAGTAGCCTCCAGTTGGGGTAGTCAGTAGTGAACTGCTAGTTACAACCTCAAAAGACGTTTATTTCCCTGAGTCGTCTTAGACAGAAATTCGATTTTGTTTGTACTCATTTGGGACCGGTCGATTGTTTTAACGCCACTGAATGCATGTGCAAAATATTGGGGCTAGTGGGAAGATATAAAACGCGCTTACAACAAAATGACAGTACCTTGTTCCTCAAGGCAACTTGACTCTTCTCGCGCTCTTCTTCCAAACGACGGCATTCTTCGATCATATTGATCGGTAACCCAACCCAACGGATTTCCTTCTTTTCTTTCTGCAACACGTTCAGTGCCATCAGCACGTTGAGCGCATCGTAAACTCGCCGCCGAATATTTTTCTGAATATAATGCAACTGCAAAAATAGAAGAATGAGCATCACAATTGCATCACAAGCCTTATGGTAAATAAAAGAATAAAGGTGGATGGAGAATAGCCACAGTGCTAGCCTGCCACAATCATTCTGAGGCTCCCACACCGCCAGTCATTAAGGGAACGATTACAAGAACGATATGTATATCGATCAGCAGCTACATCTTGCAGCGGCCCCAACCATGGACAAGGAGTGACGTGGACGTCAATCTGGAAGGCGAGTCGTCGCAGCGACAGTACCCAGAGTCTATAGTCGTTTTTGTATCCTTTTGTTAGGTCAGAGGTTGATCCCAGCACAGTAGTACTTCAAAGATACTCGTTCGAAGAGAGACAACCTCCTTGAAGGTGCAACGTTCCCTGTCGGTGAAGAAGTAATGTGAGGTGCATGAAGATTAGGCTATACACAGGGGGTATCAAATAGCCTTACCCCGTGTTACCTTCTGCTTTAAACGGCAAAGCATATCTTACATGCGAAAGGCCGATAGTACTCACCTGCTCAGAGGGAATCATTGGATGCTCCGCTGCATACTCATGGACTAGTTCGTCAGCCACCTCGATGTAGGAAGTGACACCTTTTTCCTTGACTTTGTTACACACACAGCGTGCATACCGTCGTAGGCCATTCGTCTTGAAACCAGTTGACATCCTGAGGAGGAAGAGACAACTCGGTTAGAGCTGTATTGAGGGCAGAATGGCATTCATCCGCACCCACTTAGCCATGAAATTACTTACTGCTCTTGTTCATCTCCAGAGTCATGACCGGGAGGACTAGGAGGCTGAAAGTAAGTAGAAAGCGGTCCTGACGCAGGCAGGCCTGTGGAAAGGTCGTAGTATCCACCTTGTGTTGCAACTATGCCACTTTGTGGTGCATGTATTCCGTCTCCGGAAGTCACCATGGTGTTCTCGATGTCTTCAGAGGGTTGATGCGCCCCACTGCTAACCACTCCATGAGTGATGGGAGTTGCGCCGGCCGCACTGGAGAGAATAAGCGTGCCCTGAAATAAGGGAAATATAACATTGAAAAGACAAGTATATGACTTGAGGTTCAACACCTCGAAGTTGGGTAGTTAAGCGACTGAAACACAAGTGTCACATCCAAGGGAAGCGACACGAGTGTCAGATATTGCCGGAAAGGCGATGGGACCCTTGATCATCTACTTACCGGACGCACTGTAGAAGCACTGGGAATCCCGCCAAGAATTGTACCACTAGAGGCAAGTTGCGCTGGTGTCCTGATTGTCAGTAATCGTGGAACTGAAGGTGCTCCGGAAAGTGCACCCGTGACAATTGGGCTACCAGTTGAAGATATAACTTTCATGCTACGCTGTAACATGTGCATTGGAATGACCGCAGCTCTTAGCGGCTTACCCCAACACCCTGCCCTGGTACAGTGATTATTTTTACCGTGCTAATAGCAGGGCGCTGAAGGGTGAGGCAAGTGACATCCCAGGAGTTTGACCGGGACGCTGAAGCATGATTACGCGTGGTGGGTATGGAGTTGTCTGTGTATTCTGTGGTGCCAAGTTCGCAGAGCTATCAATCACTATGGAAGTGACCGGTGCTACTGATGTAACAATGGGGGACTGGGTCACCAAACTGCTTGAAAGAACGGTCTGCTCGTTTGGACCCACCGTAATTTCTTGTTCGGCGGCTGGAATATCGAACAGGTCGTGTGGATTCCCGACGTATTGCTCCGCTTTGTAATCCATCTAAAATGAGTGTATGAAACTAATCAACTAGTCGCACATCTAAAATGTAAACGACGAACGGTTTACTGGATAAGTTTGTACAAAATGATGATACAGTAATCTACTTCTTGATGAAATTTCAGTGTGTCCTCAAACGCGTTTCATCGTCGCAAGGTGTGAAATAAGGGAAATATAACATTGAAAAGACAAGTATATGACTTGAGGTTCAACACCTCGAAGTTGGGTAGTTAAGCGACTGAAACACAAGTGTCACATCCAAGAGAAGCGACACGAGTGTCAGATATTGCCGGAAAGGCGATGGGACCCTTGATCATCTACTTACCGGACGCACTGTAGAAGCACTGGGAATCCCGCCAAGAATTGTACCACTAGAGGCAAGTTGCGCTGGTGTCCTGATTGTCAGTAATCGTGGGTGGAAAGGTGCTCCGGAAAGTGCACCCGTGACAATTGGGCTACCAGTTGAAGATATAACTTTCATGCTACGTTGTAACATGTGCATTGGAATGACTGTCAATAAAAGAATAGAACATGTGAGAAGCCAAAAACTGAATGGTAAAACGTCACAAGTTCCAGAAAATACAATCATAGAGAAAGTGAGTTTCATACCACCACCAAGCAACAATGAATATCCCAATGTGGCAGTCTCCAAACAAAACGACCCACGACTGGATCTGGCCGTCATAGATAGATGTCATCTCAAAAGACGAAAAGACCCTTCGCTGTAATTCTCTCTTAGAGTGGGATTAGTGTCTAACATAGGTCAGAAAATCGACCTTAAGGACTCGACTGCTCCCATTGTTACATGATTGGGCTGCTTTTAGAGTGGTAGAGATTAAGGCAACGGTGAGTCTCAAATGCACAATACACAACTGCTGGTTTGGCCAGGTCACTTAGTTCGTACAACAGCATTTCACATCCGATTGCAAACAGTTGTCTTCAACCTCTGCAAACCGGTGATTTACTGCAGCTAACACAGGGTTCATGAGGGTCGCGAACCGCAGCTGTCCATGTGTGCCACACTAGAGTATTATTGACAAAGATATCTTGGAGATGCAGCCGATCAATAAAGGACTGCTATACGAACGAAGCTATCACATGAGAACGTTCGGTCACCTGTCTCCACTGACAGTCTTTGAATTCGTCGGGGTGACTCAAGACTAACCTACGGGCAACAGTAGTCGTATGGGATAGAACCTCAGAAAAATAACTGCCGATAACAGAGCTACATCGTTGATTCACAGACTCAATTTTAGTTCCCTAAGCTGCCGGACCTAAAATTGAGTCTGTGAATCAACGATGTAGCTCTGTTATCGGCAGTTATTTTTCTGAGGTTCTATCCCATACGACTACTGTTGCCCGTAGGTTAGTCTTGAGTCACCCCGACGAATTCAAAGACTGTCAGTGGAGACAGGTGACCGAACGTTCTCATGTGATAGCTTCGTTCGTATAGCAGTCCTTTATTGATCGGCTGCATCTCCAAGATATTTGTAACATGTGCATTGGAATGACTGTCAATAAAAGAATAGAACATGTGAGAAGCCAAAAACTGAATGGTAAAACGTCACAAGTTCCAGAAAATACAATCATAGAGAAAGTGAGTTTCATACCACCACCAAGCAACAATGAATATCCCAATGTGGCAGTCTCCAAACAAAACGACCCACGACTGGATCTGGCCGTCATAGATAGATGTCATCTCAAAAGACGAAAAGACCCTTCGCTGTAATTCTCTCTTAGAGTGGGATTAGTGTCTAACATAGGTCAGAAAATCGACCTTAAGGACTCGACTGCTCCCATTGTTACATGATTGGGCTGCTTTTAGAGTGGTAGAGATTAAGGCAACGGTGAGTCTCAAATGCACAATACACAACTGCTGGTTTGGCCAGGTCACTTAGTTCGTACAACAGCATTTCACATCCGATTGCAAACAGTTGTCTTCAACCTCTGCAAACCGGTGATTTACTGCAGCTAACACAGGGTTCATGAGGGTCGCGAACCGCAGCTGTCCATGTGTGCCACACTAGAGTATTATTGACAAAGATATCTTGGAGATGCAGCCGATCAATAAAGGACTGCTATACGAACGAAGCTATCACATGAGAACGTTCGGTCACCTGTCTCCACTGACAGTCTTTGAATTCGTCGGGGTGACTCAAGACTAACCTACGGGCAACAGTAGTCGTATGGGATAGAACCTCAGAAAAATAACTGCCGATAACAGAGCTACATCGTTGATTCACAGACTCAATTTTAGGTCCGGCAGCTTAGGGAACTAGTAGCTTTCATCGTAAGAATAACCTAGACAAAACGCTACACTGACATCACATCATCCCGTTAGGAAACCTAATGACCGTGCATATAAAACTGCCTCATAAGAGCGTTCAACGACCGAAACCCCGAGTAGACAGGCAAGAAAACGACATTGTACTACAAAACCATTAAAATCGAAGGTCGAGAAAATTTCACCAACGAACAGGGCTTTCAGAAAACGTAAGTAAACGCAGATTCAGTGGTGAATTACAAAGAAAAAGAGTGGTGAACACTTATCTGGGGGAGGGAGGAAGTACAACTATCCTTGACAACAATAAGCAATGGAAAACAACTCACCCGCAGCTCTTAGCGGCTTGCCCCCAACACCCTGCCCTGGTACAGTGATTATTTTTACCGTCTGGAACGAGAAGAAAGTCGGCGAGACAGGGAATAGTGAAAATAGAACTGCACATGCATTGAATATGGAGAAGTTACGTTAAAAAATAGAATAAAATGACGGCATGCGTGCAAACCGAGTATTTCATATGCATTGCAGGCATGGTTATCTGAATATGGATAAAGTACTCCTAAACACCGAAGAACACCAAGTAACCGTGGCTCATGGGTATGATTGTACTCTTTCATTGAAGCCTGTGTTTACTGCAAGATCGTTGATGCGATCCTGCAGAAAGTATTTTTCGCCATCATCATCGACAGCATGACATCAGTGTTCAACACCTGTGCTTCGCTGCCGTTTAACCGTGATGGTATGGTTCGCTCTCAGCAGTCGTCCAGGAACATAAGACAAACCAGATACAGAGCGATCAGACCTTGATCCACGCGAAGCCTCAGATCAAAAGGCGCGATTTCTGATGCCACCAGTGGCTCTGAAAGCAAGCGCGATCGCGGTCTTAGAGACTAGTAAATGTCCTTCATCAATCAGGGCCCATGAGCTACTAAGTGCATCGGTCGCTGAAGCATGAAGCTGATGAACACGTAGCAGATGCGAATCATGATTGGTATGATTGCTCCAGTCCAAAACGCTGGCAACTTCCTCGCCTCGTAGACCACAACATTATGATGTTAATTACACCAAGCGTTTCTACATGGACGATCCTTCCGTGTGTTCTAATCCTTCTCAAAAAAAAATAACCCAAAGTAATCTTTCAGCTGTAGCATCCCTTCGGTGCCTAGCTGCCATGACACCCGAGGAAAGCACGATGGCTGGGATACTGTCAGATTGCCCAAGCCTAGGATACAAAGAGGTCGAGTTCGACCCTCCAGTCAGTAGATTCGATCTTTAACCAATGAGCTATCTCGCCCCCCCTTTCGTTCTCAATGAAATGCGACTCCATAAATTCGATTGGTTTAGTTGAACTCATTCTCAATACAACCGCAAAACTAAAATAGTCGCATTTATATTAAATGAATCGGCTGATTTCAAGCAACAACCTCGGTGTCTGAAGCGGGGATGAAAATATTGATGGTGCGAATCATGAAATGTGGCTGCTTCAGTGATGACAGTTTAACACTATGGCATCTCCGTGCGCGCGCCTATCCTGTGATGACATCTGACGAAAAGTTCACCCAACTGCGCCGCCAGTGCAAATTGTTAGGTTAATAGGAAACAAGCTACATATTGCAGGGCACGATCAGTGTGTATCGGTGTATATGCTCAGTATATCCGAGCAACTGATAAATCGGTGTCCATAGCTCGGTAATCAACAGATTAATTGCGAAGAAGATTACTATAGAGTTCAGATGTTGAAAGACGGACCTTTTCCGTCAATTTCCTCGAGTAACTATACTTACAAAGGCAATCCAAATTGGACTGGTCTATCAGCTTCTGCGCAATGATCCAGCTATTAATTAATAACAACAGTAGATTTGGTCACTTAGCAGTTAGTACAACCCCACGCGATGTTTACGTGGTCCCTCTGTGAAAATTCTCTGTTGTCTAGACGTCTTGGTCACACGAGGTGTGTTGAGTAAGGATTGGGCGTGCAACCTACATTTGGTATGTGTTAGGGGGATTGCCTCCAAATGAACAAATCCATTTGGCTAAAAACTTGTCTTGTAGACTGAAATCATGTTTTCTGCATCCCAGCATTTCATTGATTTCATATTGGAGCTTTCGCTCTTTTTACATTCTGGTTCATTTGAATCCATATCAAGGAACGGTTCAGTTGTTTCTAGCACAAATTCCACAAGGGTATTTGTTTTCTCGATTCCGGTGTAACGGATAGGTCCGATTGATACATCAGTAAAGATCATACCAGCATAGCCCCGAAAGGATAATTCAGACATTTACACAGAGGGATGACATAAACATGCCCTATGAGGCAATTAAATAAATCTTAAGTTACGGATTTTTGGGCTGATCATTGTGTAAATGCTGATAGCCAGGCCAATATGAATTTTCTGCACACCGCGTTACCTATTTATGCAGACCAGAGAAGTCTCGAAGGTACCCATTTGTCACCATACTTTAGATGAATAGTCAGACTAGATTAGTTCAACGACTGTCAACACTCGCCAACAGGGGGTTAGAGCAAGAATCATACTACAAAATCGGCACACATTTAGCTGAAATGCCACCTCGTCCAGTTGTATAATCTGTTCTTTCAGTGAGGCCACCCGGGGTCAAAGAAAGTGTTTGGACGCGCTGAAAGAGTAAGTGTGAATTGGACGAATGATCTCAAACAAATATATCGACCAGGAATGTCAGTGGATCAGTGGCAAAACCACAACTGCTATCCGGGCTCATCCGTCAGACAAAAAGCACCGACATTGTGATCCTCGCAGGCGATTTGAATGCTCAAGTAGGTCGTCTGAGCTCCTTGGAATCACATTTGGGTGGTCGTTTCGGAGTCGATGCTCGCCGCACAGACAACGGAGATCGACTCCTTCAGTTGTGTGCTGATCACGAACTGTTTCTGGCAAGTACTAACTTCCAACATAAACGTTCGCACCGCGTTACCTGGCGACCGCCAACTACAAACCAACCGTGGACCCATCGGCAGCTACAACCACAGTACGACGAGTACGCGGTTATTACAGCTGACAATGATGATGATGAATACCAATATAATGACGATCGTGGGGTGTTCATATTAACCAGGAGAAAAAATAGAAGCAACAATGTCATTCCACAGCTCCTGAATACCACGCATTCTGGATACACGCTGCCACCGACGAAAGACGTTAGTCTAATCTGTTTCTGGATCGGAATCTGGGACCAAACAAACCCCCACTGCCTTGCGGGTGAAGCTTTTGAGTGAAACGTTTAAGGTGGGTTACTTCAACCAAGCCCCCTTCGACTTGGATAAACGAGAAGTATCAGTTGCCCTTGCAGCTCTTCGCTCAGAGACCATCCTCCACCCATCGAATGACGCAGTGCGACCAACCCATGTGCCAGTCTCCTAGTCATCGTCCGGTGCCTAAACTATCGCTCACAAAAAAGCCCTTACTGACCTTAGGAGATCTGACCCACGTTGCAGCCTCCACATCCGCGTTCTACGTTAAATTGGGCAAATGGGAAAAAGTGGTCGGTTTGTCTGTCAACGGAAGAGTTTACACCACGGCAGTGCGATCCATACAGCCTTATGGATCAGATACGTGGCCTCTACTACCAAAGGACATACAAAAGATGTCTCCGAAGCATTGATCAGATCTAGTGAGGACATCGGATTAGCAATGCTGAGGTACGCAGTGAAACTAAGTATTCGTTGAAGTGCATATAAAGCTCGACAGGATAACTTTTACAGATTGACGCTATAACCGAACTCCCCGTAAATTTGTCAGCGGATGTATCTAACTGGAAAATTAAGCGGATGAGTGCGGATTAGTGTGTGTTGTTCCATACGGAAATCACATACCTTAATAGCAGGCCGCTGAGGGGGCGAGGCAAGTGACACCCCAGGAGTTTGACCGGGACGCTGAAGCATGATTACGCGCGGTGGATGTGGAGTTGTCTGTGTATTCTGTGGTGCCAAGTTCGCAGAGCTATCAATCACGATGGAAGTGACCGGTGCAACTGATGTAACAATGGGGGACTGGGTCACCAAACTGCTTGAAAGAACGGTCTGCTCGTTTGGACCCACCGTAATTTCTTGTTCGGCGGCTGGAATATCGAACAGGTCGTGTGGATTCCCGACGTATTGCTCCGCTTTGTAATCCATCTAAAATGAGTGTATGAAACTAATCAACTAGTCGCACATCTAAAATGTAAACGACGAACGGTTTACTGGATAAGTTTGTACAAAATGATGATACAGTAATCTACTTCTTGATGAAATTTCAGTGTGTCCTCAAACGCGTTTCATCGTCGCAAGGTGACGAATAAAAATCACATGATACTCGCACAACAAAATCATGAAATCAAATTTGTCCGGGTGTTTCTCAAGTTGAGGTGAATCTCCCGAATAATTCTACTCCTGAAAATGAGTATTCACACAAACTAGCGCAACATGGTGAATGTGTACCTTTGTCAATTGTCACTATCATGGTATTTCGGAACTGGTAGCCTCAGTGATCTTATATTACCAAGCGTGGTAAGTTATCATGGAAGCGAATGATCACACAACGAAAATCGTAATTATTCAGAACTCAAGAAATATTGAATTATCGTGTGTCGACTCATTCTGACCCTCAGCTGTATTACCCCGACCTAAAGCTGCCACCCTGACGTGGTCACACAACGCGTAATTATTCAGAACTCAAGAAATATTGAATTATCGTGTGTCGACTCATTCTGACCCTCAGCTGTATTACCCCGACCTAACCTAACCACCCTGACGTGGTGGTCGGGCTTGAATGCTGCAACGATCCCGCGGGCTACACTGGCTGGAACTTCGTTCCACAAGGTGCAACCATACCAGGAAGGCCAAAGGGGAGCAGCCAGACCAAGAGCAGTGAGACCCCGTACTACGAGTAATCGTGCTACGAGGCGGTCTGGGGGTAAAGTCGTACTGTCCTCTGCGACAGGAGTGTGAAGGCAGTAAGGTGTTTCCCCCAGGCGACCAGCATGTCCATATTTATGGAAGCAGCGATGCTGCCTTCCCCCGAGGAAGGACGGGTTAGAAAAGGTCGGCCCCAAAAACCGCACACTCCGATCGCCCAACGGTTGACCGTGACCGCCGGCGCATTATCCGATACGGTCGAAATACTTTTAAAACCAAAGAGCCCGGTGCTGCTCAAAAGGCACCTGCTGTGCGCAGCCGCATCAGGAATGAGACAGTAATGCCTTATTCCCTGCGCCCTCGGGTTAGGCCAACCCCCTGCAGCCGAGCAGGTCAGACTATTGAGTCATCGGCTCCGGGCAGGGTCCCCAAAGAAAACCCTACATTCTCCCACTGCCTCGTGGGTCAGACTTTTGAGTCAGAGGCTAGGGTCAGGGTCCCCGAACAAAACCCTACGTCATCCCACTGCCTTGTGGGTCAGACTTTTGAGTCGAAGGCTCAAGGTGGGGTACCTCAACCAAACCCCCTTCCTCGGCCTGGGCAACCGGGAAGTATCATTTGCCCGCGCAGTTCAGCGTCCACCGATGTCCCTCCCCAACCCCTTCCCACTGCACAAGCAAACGTCGCTGGGCCATTTGACTGTCAGTCATCTGACCGAAGGGCCCTATGCTCCACGCTGCCTACAAGCCTTAAACAAAATAACACCTTTCTAAATCCACGAGATCCTTTCTATATAGGAGCTTTTAACGTCCGTACTCTATGCCAAATTGGCAAACAGGCAATGCTTGCTGAAACCTTGTACTCCCTTAAAATCGATGTATGCTGTGTCTCCGAAACACGCATACAAGACCCGAGCGTGGTTCTGCATCTCAGAACGCCAAGGATGAACCCAGCTCTTTCACATTTCTCCCTCCGTGTGTCTGGTGACCCAGAAGCGATGACTCGTGGAATGTATGGCGTGGGAGTTGCACTCAGCCCCAGAGCTGAACGCGCTTTGCTGGATTGGATCCCAGTGAACAGTCGTCTCTGCGCCGTCCGGTTATCCAGTTCAATCAAGCTCAATGCCTCGCGGCATAAAAAGCGGTGCCTGTTTGTCGTGTCGGCTTATGCCCCGACGGACTGCAGTTCTGATGCGGAGAAGGATACTTTCTATCGAGAGCTATCCAGGCTCATTCGTCAGGCAAAAAGCACTGACATTGTGATCCTTGCAGGCGATTTGAATGCTCAAGTAGGTCGTCTGAGCTCCTTGGAATCACATTTGGGTGGTCGATTCGGAGTCGATGCTCGCCGAACAGACAACGGGGATCGCCTCCTTCAGTTGTGTGCTGATCACGAACTGTTTCTGGCAAGTACGAACTTTCAACATAAACGTTCGCACCGCGTAACCTGGCGGCCGCCAACTACAAATCAACCGTGGACCCAGTTGGACCACGTGGCCATCAGTCACCGGTGGAGAGCCACAATTCAAGACTGCCGTTCCTTCTGGGGCACACCACTTGATTCCGATCACGCCATGGTGCGCGCACGCCTGACAGTTCGTTTCCCTTCAGGCCCTCGCAAGTCGGCAAGAAACGTGCCAATCCACTATCTTCGAAGAACTGCCATAGCTCAACAGTATCGATCTGAGCTAGCCCAACAACTCTCCACAGTAAAACAATACTGTGGTGGCAGTGAACATGTGGATGAAGCGTGGCAAAATGTGAAAGGAGCTATACTAGCGGCGTTCAGTGCTGCCTGCCCGACTTCTCCAATTCGACCACGGGACCACTGGATGTCGTCGAGGTCGTTATCCATGATTGATGCCAGGAAAGCCATACCAGCAGGCAACGAGTACGACGGCGCACGCAAATCCCTCAAACGCCAAATAGTGAAGAGTCTAAGGAAAGACCGAGAGCTCTGGTGGACATCGAAAGCTCGGGAGATGGAGAAGGCTTTTGCTACGGGAAACAGCCGTGCCCTTTATCAACTGATACGGTCGACTGGCTTTAGAAAAGCAACGGTCAGCGAAACGATAAATGAAAAAGATGGCTCATTAATTCACTGGCAAAAACGTCGACTGGAGAGATGGGCCGAACACTTCGAAGAACAGTTCAGCTGGCCTCATGCAGCACAGCCGGTGGAGATAGTGCATACGGGCGAATGGAATGTAAACGTTGATCGCCCTTCAGAAGAGGAAATAAGGTACGAAGTAGCCGCACTGAAACGTGAGAAGGCACCAGGATCGAACGGTCTGTATCCAGCCCTCTTCAAATAAGGCGTAAAATCCCTGGTGACCCACCTGATAAAGCTTACTGGTGCTATATGGGACGAAGAGAAAGTGCCTGCAGAATGGGGCATGTCGACACTTATCCCCATTTTCAAAAAGGGTACGCGGACGCTATGTGAAAACCACCGTGGCATCAGCCTGTTAACTGTGGCATCGAAGGTGCTCTCTGGTCTTATCATTCGAAGGTTGACTGAACACAGGGAGAGAGAGATCCGTGAAAACCAAGCTGGGTTCCGTCCTGCAAGAGGTCGCACCGACCATATCTTCGCCCTCTGACAGATGCTGGAACAACGACACTGCTTCCAGCAACCAACAGTGGTCGTTTTTCTTGATCTGAAAGCTGCCTTTGACTCTGTGGACCGCCAAACACTGGCAGTCTGTGGAGCAAAGGCGTCCCTCAAAGTTCTTGACCCTCATTAAGGCGCTGTACGCCAACTCCCGCGGCCGTGTAAAGGTCTATGGGAAGCTCTCTCCTGAGTTCACAACATCAAGTGGTGTCCGACAGGGTTGTTCTCTTTCACCTTTCCTCTTCAACTTCATCATGGATACGATCATGGAAGACTCACTACCAGCCTCTAATGCCTGTGGGGTCGAAGTGCTCCCTGGGCCTCCGCTCACAGACATCGAGTAC